TGCGGTCTCCCCGTTTTTGGCCGACCGTGTTTGTGTACACCACAGCGCCTGTCTAGCGTGCGCCACGACGCCTTTGTACACCGCAGCGCCTGTCTACACGACAGTGTCTGTGTACACCTCAACGCATGTGTACACTACAGCAGCCGTGTACACCGCAGCGCCTGTGTACACACCACACACACTGCCTGTGTACACGGCGACGCGTATGTGCACCACGTTGGATGCTTCAGTACCAGATTCGTGCACCAAAGTGCCTGTGTACACCACAGAACTGCGTATACTTCCAGGGCCCCCGACAGGACCAAACTCCAGAACATCGCCGGGGATCCGAACGTATCAAATCCAATATGTCAGCTGTTTGTGATTATTGATTTTCCTGCGCAGGGAACGGTCCCGGCCCACAACGCCTGTGTACACCATAGCGAATGTGTGCACAGCACCGGATGTGTACACCGCAACGCCCGCGCAAAACCACAAGATGGGGCACACCGCAATGACCGTGCTCTACAGTGTGTTTGTACACCACCATGCATGTGATCCCAGCGCGAATGATAACTGATGTTGCGGGAACAATAGTGCACACCACAAAGCCTGTCTTCACCACATTGCGTGGTGCATCACGATGCCCGCGTGCACCGCGCGACCTGCGTGCACTTATACTTGCGTGCGCCACAACGCCTGCGTGCACGACAACTCCTGCTGCAACAACAGCAAATGCGCGCACAAAATCGCCCCGCTGTCTGTGCACAACGCAATGCTTGTGTACGTGCTGCTCACGTGCACCTCCAGAGTCCTATGGACGACGTCGGTCGTCGTCGGTCGTCGGTCGTCGTCGTCGTCGTCGTCGTCGTCTGTCGTCGTCAGTCGTCGTCTGTCGTCGTCTGTCGTCGACTGTCGTCGTCTGTCGTCGTCGTCACACCAGCATGCTGTGGCGAACGCCACCGCACCGTTGAACACCGCGCTCCGTGCGAGTCATCTGCGCCCCCCCCCGGACCTGCACAACAAGCTAGGTTAGGTTACCCTGGGAGGAAAGGTAGGGGGGGCGAGCCCGGTAACCCGGGTCATCGCCGAACACTAAACAAACATCTCCAATTCACTCCTAGACAAGGACCCCGCCTGAGACTTCCTGAAAATTCAAGCCTCAGGAGCTCAACAATGCCGACAATTACAGGTTTCGAACGACCCACTCGGATTAGTAACATGATCAGCGGGCCGTCGAAGGGAGGGGGTTCCCGCCTGAGACCTCCTCGCAAGTTGCTCACAAGCCTGGGCGGCAAAAAGTGCTAACTGCTACAAATTTCGAAAGACCCGTTCGGTTTAGTAACATGATCAGCGGGCCCCATAGGGAGGGGGCTCCCGCCTGAGACGTCCTCGCAATTCACACACAGACAAGGACTCCGCGTGACTCCCTAGACATTCAAGACGCGGGGGTCCTGATAATGACGATGTTGAGTAAATGATGGAGACGGAAATGGAGATGGAGATGGTGAATACGGTGGATATGGTGATAGTGATGGTGATGGTGATGATGATGGTAATGATGGTGATAATGGTGATGCTGATGATTATTATGCTGCTGCTGCTGCTGCCGCAGCTGCTGCTGATGCAGATGATGATGAAGATGCTGCTGCTGCTGATGATGATGACGATGCTGATGATGCTTATTCTTAGTATTCTGATTACGCTTATGATTATGAGCGTGATGATGGTGATGACGGTGATGATGATGGTGATGATGATGATGGTGATGATGACGAGTGTGTGAGTGCGTGACTGAAGATCAGAGGAGAGGAGGGGTGAGGTGTTCTTTCCTGCGCGGGGGGGGGGGCGAGAAAATGGAGACAATGACGCACCGCCGTGGGGAGCCCATCACCGTGCTGCTGGTGAGGAATCACCCGGCCTGTCGATAGAAGAAGAAAACACTTTTTTTGATCCGCGGGTCGAGAGTGCACCTCTTCCGGTCGAAGCTAAGCGGGCCGCGCGAAGCTTGAATTAGGCAGAGGAGAGGAGGGAGGAAGCGGCGGAAAGAAGAAGAAAACACAGCAAAACCATAAACTGTTGGCGCTCCGCGCGGATCTCTTGGATCCGCGCCAGGGGCGGCGCCGGAGGCACCGCCAGGGGGGCCCAGCGCGGATCAAAGAAACCCGCGCGCAGCGCTAAAAGTTGATGTGTATGTGTATTTTCTTCTTCGAGTTGAAGGACTATGAAGGGGCCCTGGGACACACAAATAATTACATACAAACAACACGAGTCCCCATATTTTCTCATATTTTCTGGATTTTTGTCTTCCCCCCGATTTCCCATATTTCCCCATACCCATATTTTCTGGGGGATCGACGTTTAATGGTGACTGTGTGCTTTTTCCCTCCTGAAACACGCTGACGGGCTTCCAGCGGCGGCGTGTCACAGATACTCCCCGTCCCCGCCGAAGCGTCGACCTCGCTGGCCGCCCTCGTTCGTTCTGCCCCCCGGCGACGCCCCCCCCCCCCCCTGGGTGGAGCCTCGGCAGGAAGATCGCAGGCGCGCAGGCATGGGAGGAGGAGGAGGAGGAGGAGGAGTTCAGCAGGGGCCGACCGTCCCAGCATTCCTATCGTCCTACCACGAAATGTTCTCAGAACCCAAAGATGTTCTATACAATGTTCTTAGAACGTGAGCCTGATGTGTTAAAGCAAGACAGTCCCAACCAGAAATGTTCTAAGAACATTTCGTGGAAGCCACAAAAGCTTATTAGAACATGGTTTGGTAGGCGAGCCAGGACGCTTCGCCACTGCTCGAAGGAGGAGAAGGAGTAGAAGGAGGAGGAGGAGGAGGAGGGGGAGGAGGAGGAGGAGGAGGAGGGGGGGAGGGAGGAGGAGGAGGAGGAGGAGGAGGAGGAGGAGAGGAGGAAGAGGAGGAGGAGGAGGCGGAGGAGGAGGGGAGGGGAGGGAGGAGGAGGAGGAGGAGGAGGAGGAGGAGGAGGAGGAGAGGAGGAGGAGGAGGAGGAGGAGGAGGAGGAGGGAGGGTCGGCGGCGGCAGTGCGCTGAGGACGAGGCGCCTCGGAGGGGCTCCTCTTCGGCCCGGCGGCCGCTGGCCGCTGCCGGCTCTTCGCCCGCCGACGACGAGGCCTCGGCTCGGTGCGGCCGCCGTCGCCGCCGCCGCCACCGTCGTCACCGTCGCTCGAAAACGGGACCCTCGCGGTTCCTTCGGCGTCCGAGCACTTCCCGGAGATCCGCGCAACGCACCCGGAATCGTGAGGCCGGCTTGTCCACGTCTTCGGCCTCCTGGGGGGCCGCTTCCTGGGCCCGGGACCTTGAAGGCAGGGCCCAGGATGAAAAGCTGGTCCTCCGCGGGGCGGGCCACAACGTCTTTGGGGCATTGCCTTGCCCCTTTGTGGGCCTCCGGGGGTGCCCCACTGGGTCCGCATCGAAGTAGCCTGACCGGGACGCGCCCCCTGGAGAGGTCGGAGGTCCCCAACCTCGGTTTCGTCAACGTTGCCGCCGCCGCCGTCAGCGCCGCCCTCGGCCGAATTGTCCTGGGAGGTGTCCGAAGGTTTTCGGAGGCCCCAAAGACCCCAGAAGCTTCTGGAGGCTCAGGAGCGGCAAGAACTGGCAGCATTGTATACCACAAGTGCCTGGAAGACGCCTTGGCTCCAGCGTCGCAGCATTGAGCAGAGAAGCCTTGGCCTGGCAGACAAGCATTGTTACACCACCCTGCGAAGACAGTTGGAAACACCATTACCTGCCGAACTGCCTCCATGTTCCGTGGCCCACCTGAACACAACGACGCCGCACATTTGGCGCACAGGCAAGTTCCCCAACACACAACTTGCACCTGGGGATGCTTCCTTTGCTTTTTTTGTTGGTATTTGATGGGTAATACCGAAGATGGTTCGCCACATTGCCGCCCGTGGCAGCCCGTAGGCGCCTCTTGGGCGGGCCGATGTCTCGTCACGCTGCCGCTCGTGGGCGCCCCGCGTGCTGGGCCGGGCACGCCAAAGCTTCGCCAACGTTGCCGCACGCGGCCGCCCCGCAGGCGGCCCGGTGGGCACCCCGTGCGCCCGGGGTGCCGCACAGCTTGCACCGCGTGACTCGCGCCACGCAGCGTGCAGCGCACAGGTTGCACGACGTCGATCTACAACATAGCATTGCGGATGCCATGCTAATGGACACCCCGATCATTGAACTAAAGAATGTGTTTGAACTGTGTAAAACATGTTCTAGACATGTTCCAAACATGCTTTTACACGTTTAAAAGATGTTTGAAGCATTGTATGGACACCTGGAAAGTATTTGGCAGCATGCTTCCTCTCCATTAATCGACTTCCACAAACATAGCACACCACACAACGTACACCACAAACGGCTGGACTGCACCGCATCTCTTACGGGTGCATTGCGCGATTGCCTACTGCTTGGGGCCAGCGCTGTCAACAACATGTAGCTGTCAGGGCATGCGGTGGACCTTCTTGGCGACAGTCCTGCTCGGTGCTGCTCCGAAAAAAGGTCGTCCGGTCCTTCCGCGAGGGCGACAAAGGGGTGTCATCGAACCACGTAAAGCTGCGCGACGTGTCGATCTCATCCGCCTAAAGGGGCTTGCTTCGCCTGTCGTCTCTGTTGGTTCCCCTGCCGCCTGCCCTGTCTCAACCGTCTCGTCGCCGTGCCCATGTGAAGAACAACATCTAGTCGCTTGTGACGTGCCCGCCTGTGACAATCGCCGTGTCCGTGCTGCTTCCTGCCCATGCACCACGCACCTCTGGCGCGCAAGGTGTCCTCTTTGTCTTGTTGGTACCCCTCTCTCTCTATGGTTCTCTCTGTCTCTGTCTCTGTCTCTCTCTCTCTCTCGTTCTTCCTCTCTTGCCCGTCACATGTTTCTATGCATGTTTATATGTATATGGACAGCACCCCCCCCAGCACCCGTTCTACGCCTTCGTCCTTTCCACGAGGCTGGAGTCGTGCCTCTCCCCTCCTGTCTCCCTTCCCTCTCCGCTCCTCTTGTTCTTCTTCGCTGAAGCCTTCCCCCGCATCCGCTAGCGGCACGTTTTCCACAAGCGCCACCGTGACACGTGCAAGCGTCTGCTTCTCTAAACAAAAGGGAAAGAACAAAACCAACCTTGGGATCCCAGGGAGGTTCAAGGCTCCGTACCCCAGGAACCCAACTGAAATCACAAAGTTCGCGACGTCGGTGATGCGCAAACCCTATGAGTTCACTTGGGTTCCTCAGATTTCTCGGACGCTAACCAACGAAGCCTTATGAGTGCACTTGGATTCTAGGACATTCATACCCTGGGGCAAAACCAACCTTGGGACCCCCAGGAAGTCCAGGGCTCAGAATCCCAGGCGTCCCAGTGTAACCACGCGGCTCGAGACGTCGGTGATGCGAACACCATACGTTGTCACGTGGATCCCTGGGGTTCCTGCGATGCAGATCAATGAAGCCCTGTGAGTTCACTGGGATTCATGGGATCCCTCGGATTTCATACTCTGGAGCAAATCCATCCTTGGAATCCCAGGAGGTCCAGGGCTCAGAACCCCAGTGCCCCCAATAAACTCACAAGGTTCGCGGCGTCGGTGATGCGCAAACCCTGCGATTTCAGTTGGAGTCCTTGGACTTCTGGGGTGTTAATCAATAAAACCTTGTGGTTTCATGGGGTTCATTGCGCTCCTGGGATTTCATACCCTGAAGCGAAAAACAAAGCACGAGCCCTGGGGTCACAGCAGGCCAGCGTGGAAATCCCAGGCATCATCATCATCATCATCATCATCATCATCATCATCATCATCATCATCATCATCATCATCATCATTATCATCAGCAGCAGCAGCATCATCACCATCATGAGCCTCATCATCGCCACCACCATGATCAGTATCCTCATCAGCAGCATCATCATCATCATCATGACTACAATCATCATTACTATAAGCATCATGGCCATCATCGCCTATAGCAGCATCATCATCAACATAATCATCACCATCACCAACATCATCATCACCATCATCACCGACATCGTCATCATCGTCATCAACAACATCACCATCACCACCACCACCATCATCACCACCACCACTACCGTCATCGTCATCATCACGACCACCACCATCACCATCATCATCATCATCATCATCATCATCCTCATCCTCATCCTCATCCTCATCCTCATCAGCATCGTCATCACCATACTTATCCGTAACATCATCATTATGCTCAACGCGATCACCATCACCGTCATCATCATTAGCATCATTGGCACCATAATCGAATGCAGCATCATCAGCAGCAACATCATCATCCTCATCACCATCATCATCATCCTCTTCACCATCATCCTCGTCATTAGCATCATCAGCATCACCACCACCATCATCATCATCATCATCATCATCATCATCATCATCATCATCATCATCATCATCATCATCATCAGCATGATCATCAGCATCAGCAGCATGATCATCAGCATCATCAATATCATCCAACTTCTCCTCCTCCTCCTCCTTCCCCATCCTCCTCCTCCTCCTCCTCCTCCTCCTCCTCCTCCATCCCCTCCACTCCCTTCTGATTTCCCTGCCTACTCCTCCTTCTCCTCACAATCTTCCTGCTCCCCCCCTTCCCCTCGGTCCTCATATTTCCGCTATCAGTCGCGGGGGGGGCGGTGGCATCGATTCTCGGCCCATCACCCGCAGGGTCGGCTGGGGGCCGCGCAGACGTGCCGGGGTCCGAAGAGGTCGACGCACTGGGAGGCGCGTGCGGGGGGGGGGGGCGCGAGGCCAAGATGACGACGACGCGGACCAAGAAGAGGAGGAGGGAGGAGGAAAGGAAGGACGAAAGGAGGAGGAGGGAAGGAAAGAGGAGAAGGAGGAGGATGATGAGGAGGAACACCGATGTCAGGAGGAGGAGGAGGAGTACGACGACGAGGAAGGGACGAAGGAGGAGGAAGAGAAGAAGGAGGAGGAGGAGAAGGAGCAGGAGGAGAAGGAAGGAGGAGGAGTCAAGGATGAAGGAGGGGCGGCGGAGCGTCTGGCAGAGAGTGGGGGGGACTTGACGAGAAGCGGAGGAGGAGAAGGAGAACACGGCGAGTGGGACACGAGCGAGAGAGGGGGGAGGGGATGGGGGGGAGAAGAGGGAGGAGGAGGAGGAGGAGGAGGAGGAGGAGGAGGAGGAGGAGGAGGGAGGAGGAGGAGGAGGAGGAGGAGGAGGAGGAGGAGGAGGAGGAGGAGGAGGAGGAGGAGGAGGAAGGAGAGGAGGAGGGGGCTGAGGCAACGTCACCCTGGGGGGCAGCGCTCCTCCGCGCGAGCGCCACAGCGCCCGAGGCGCATGAGGCACGATGGCACGGGGGCGAGCCGCGTGGCGCGGCGAGCGGCGGACCGCCGTGGCTGCTCTCGCGGTGGGCGTCGGGCGCGGGAGGAGGGAGGGAGGGAGGAGGGAGGGAGGAGGGAGGGAGGAGGGAGGGAGGAGGGAGGAGGGAGGAGGGAGGAGGGAGGAGGGAGGAGGGAGGAGGGAGGGGAGGAGGAGGAGGAGGGAGGAGGGAGGGAGGAGGGAGGAGGAGGGAGGAGGGAGGAGGAGGGAGGAGGGAGGGAGGGAGGGAGGAGGGAGGAGGGGGGGAGGGAGGAGGGAGGAGGGAGGAGGGAGGAGGGAGGAGGGAGGAGGGAGGAGTGGAGGCCTGGAGATTGGCACCAGCACCAACACGGGGCGTTGCCACCACCGGGGGAAGAGGATCCCAGGTTTCGGTGTCGGTGGCAATGTGTCGGTCCCCTTGGGAAGCCAACGTGTTACCACCATCACCGAGATTGGGACACTCTGCCATCCGGTGGAAGCACGCCGCCGATGTTGGTGTTGGTGTCAACCTCTAGGCCTCCGACGTTGGCCCCGAATGCCGTCTTCCTGGGCGCGGAACACGTTGCAGGATGTGAGGCAGACGGCCATCCTTGCGATGGCGCGCTCAATGTTGTTATCGCAGCCGTCGATCTCGCTCGCCAGCGAGGCCCAAGCGTTTTTCAGGATGGAGCGGCGGACTTTGGCCCCATCGGAGGACACATGCGGGGCGCAGGACGCTGTGCGAGATGTCGTCCACGAGCATCTTCCCCAGACCCCAGACGTCATGTGTTTTTCATTACGTCGACCCCTGGAGGTCTCGACCCATTCCCCTGGTCCGATTTTTCATCCTGAGTCGTTTGTTGACGGTCCCGAGGGCCGGCAAGGGCCCCCAGAGGCCGAACATAGCAACAAAAACCTCCCGACATGATTTTTTCATTTCGCGGGGGGGCCTGGGTCTCGGGAGACACTGGACGAGGCAGCCGTGCGGCACGGGGGAGACATGCACGCGGTGGCTCGTCGTCGCCTGGGCGCGCGCCGCTGCCTCCGGGACGGGCCGCGTCCGCGCCGGAGGCTGGATCGCCCGGCGCCAGGGGAAGAGGCTCCAGGGAGGACGGCGCGGGGGACGGCGGCAGCAGCGGGATGCCGACCGTGCCCGCTGGCATCGGCTCGCCAGTCTCCTCGTCGTTGGGGGGCGGGGGGGAACACTTCGGGCGACCCACAGAGGGGCCCAGCTGGAAGGGGGTGGTGCAGCAGATCTGGGGCAAGGGTATTGCACGCGTACTGCGCCGGAGAACTGTGCGGCGTTGTAGTGCAAGTGATATTCCTGCACGCGGGAGTCCAGCAGCACATTTAATTACGCCCTGGAGTGTCTTGCACGCCCCAGGTGTACTGCCACCCCCCAAATCTGTTGAACCAGATCTGCGACTAGGGAACACACATGCGAACCCTACCCCTACCCCCCACGATTTCTGAGGGGGAGGGTGAGGTTCACTTCGTTCGGGAGCTCCCAAACGAAGTGACCCCCCCCCCCCTCCCCCTCACAAATCGTGGGGGGTAGGGGTTGGGTTCGCATGTGGCCTGCTAGCTGCACCACTCCCTTGTCGCTGGACCCCCCCTTTTGGGGCTGCCCGAAGCACCCCTCTCGCGCGTCCTGCCGCGGCTCCGCGCTACCCTCCTCGACCCGGCGTCGGAGGCCACGAGGTGCAGCCGTCTCGAGGCACGCTGCCGCTGCCGCCCCCTGTCCTGTCGCTGCCACCTCCTGCTGCTGCCGTCTCTCCTCTGCTCCGTGCAGGGCAGATTTTAATACATCGGATGTTTAAATATGTAGGATTTTTAATACATGATTAATTATGAATACATATATGCGTGAACTCATCGTTGTTTTCAATGCTGGATCCCTGCATTTTTAATACATGATCCGCACGCGGAGCATGTATTAAACACGGCACTGTACCTTTACTGGCACCCTGGGTTGTCGCTCGGGGGGCCGCCCTTCCCTCCAGGCCGTCGGGTCGTTGCCGTCGCCCCTCTCTCTCTCTCTCTTTCTCCTGGCAGCAGAGGTAGAAGGTAAGGACCCTCAACAGCAGCAGCAGAGAGTGGCCACCGGCCTGCCTGGGGGCGGCGGACCGGGCGGCGAGAAAGACGAGCAGCAGCAGCGGCAGCAGCGGCAGGACGAGGAGGAGCGCCAGCAGCAGCGCGGCAGCAGAACCAGCAGCCTCGCCTCCTCTCGGCCCGCACGAAGCCCCGGGCCCGCAAAATGTCGGACACGCTGAAGCCAATTTGGAGCAGCATCTCGGCCTCCAAGGGCATCCTCCTGCTCCTCCTCCTCCTCCTCTTATTTCTCCTCCTCCTCCTCCTCCACCTCCTCCTATTCCTCCTCCTCCTCCTCCTCCTCCTCCTCCTCCTCCTCCTCCTCCTCCTCTTCACCATCATCGTCATACAACTCGTCATCCTCCTCATCGTTAGCCTCATGCCCACAGTCACCATCACCAGCTGTATTACAGTCATGGGCCGAACCATCCCCATACCCATCTCCCCCCCTCCGCTTCCTCACCATCCCTCGCCCCCCCCTCCCCCCCCTTCCCTTGTCCCTCCTCCTCCCCGCACCTCCTCAATCCACTTCCAGGAAAAGGATTGAGAAGAGAGCCTTTCTCCACATGGCCATCCGCCTTCTCTGTGCCCCCCCACGCCGACATTTGGAGGGTATCCATACCACAGTCCGATCTAACAGGTACCGTTCACCCTGACTATCTGCGAAGCATATTGTGGTGATGCCAGGTTGCTCGCCTAGACGGCATGGATGGCCACTAGAAATGATAATGTTGATGCATGGGCTCGCCACAGGGTGCGGTGGCATCTCGTAGATCCTGCTGTTGTGGAGCGCGGGTCGTGCTCTCGTACGTTGGTGGTCGAGCATGTGGGCATGCCTGTGGCCTACATGGCTAGCAAGGCCCTCGAGAAACTAGAGGATGCGTCCTGTCAGTCCCCTCCCCACCTTCCTCCCTTCTCACCCTCGCTCGAGTCTCCTACCGGGGATGCGCCCCCGGGAATTGGTCTCGGACAGAGGCCTCCAGCGTTTCCGATGCGCGGCCTGCCGGTCGTCCGGTCGCCACAGGCGCCCAGAGATCTCCGAAACTTCGACGACGAATTCGTCGCCGTCTTCATGGCGACCGCGTGGACAAGCTTCCCCCCAATCGAGCATACAAGGGCTCCCAACTTCGCGCTTCGCGCTGCGCGAAGCGCGAAGTGCGAATAACTTCGCGCTCTCGCGGCGCCTCCCAGGGGAGAAGGGGAGGATGAGGAGGAATCGGAGCCGAACCGCGCAGCGCGAACCGCGAATAGCTTCGCGCCCTCGAGGGCGCTGCGGGCCACGGCGAGCCCCGGCCGCGAGGGCAGGTTCCCCGAGACCTCGATGCGAGGAACGGCACGAAAACACGCCGCCCCTCCCGATCCCAGGGCTTGTGCATGCCATGGCGCGGGACACTCCCACAGTCCGACCATTGGGTCAAAGATGTGTTCAAACGGTGTAAACCATGTCCGAAACATAGTCCAACATGTTTTACCATGTTTCAGACATGTCTGAATCGTCTTTTGGACATCTGGGAATTATTTGGCAGCATGGTTCCTCTCCGTGAATCGACTTCCACAACCCAAGGTGGTCCTTATTTCGGTATCTCGACTGTACCGGGGTCCCCATCCACTCGGTGAAGCAGCTCGCACGGTCGCACAGAGTCGCCCACGGGCGCGCCCGTGGCGCCCTTTGCATGTCCCGCCCCTGCACGAGGCACTCCTGAAAGGGCACCTCGCCCTCGGGGGATCGAGGAGATGGCATCTCGTCCTCGACGGCCCCGCTACGGAAGCAGAACCAGGGCGGCCCCACCAGCGGAAGCCTGAGGTGGCGAAACATGCTCCCCATACACGTCCACGCGTTTGCTTGCTAATATCCCTCACGTCACGCAACAGAGCTGGGGGAGGGGTCAGCAAGAGCGAGACAGTGCGCAGTTGGGAGGGGGTCATGTCTTGTCCGCCCCTTTCTGCTTCACCTGCTGAGACAGGTCAGGCTGCCACGATGGCCGGTCGAACAAACAGGACGGATCAAACGCCAAACGCCGTCATGGGGACAGTGTAGCGCCAAGCTCTCAAAGTGTGAGGGGTCCTCGCTGGGGCCAAGCTTGTGTTGAGCGGTTTACGGTATCAAAAAATCGGTTACCGAATAAAACGACGTTCTGCAGGTGTTTCGCCAGTTTGGGGCTCCTGGGGCTGGAAGTGGGAATTCGAGGCCATCTCGTTGGGTCCTACGCTCCGTCCATTGCAGAAATGCAAGGACACTTCCCTCACTGGGTGCGCTGGTTTATGGCTTAGTCCAGGCGGTGCCACGCCTTAGTAGGCATCCTTTCTATCCTCACTCCAGTGTCTGTCCCCTCTCTTCCTCCCCCTCTACTTCCCCGCCCGCCTTCTCCTCCGTCCAAATCCCCTTACACATTCTCCGTCGCACCCCCAGGTGTGTCGGTAGGGCGGGCTGAGCGTGTCGCCTGAGGCTTCCACACCGCTTATGAGGCCTGGGGCTTAGCTTCAAGCGTGGAGGGCGGATGGATTTCAAAATGTGGTGATCGCGCCTTAGCGCCCAGCACCTCTCGCCTTCGCGCCGCGCACATCCGCTTCAAATGTTGCAGCAGCTTCGAGGATGGAGAGCGGTTCCTTCTCAAAGTTTGGCGCTCGCCTCAGCGCCGCGCGCAGTCGTCTCGCGGGAGTCTGCAGCAGTTCCAGGGATTCGCGGGGTGGAAGTCCCAGGGACGGTGTCCTGGCACGGCTTGGGACTCCAAGGACGTAGCAGTCACGTTGGTTCGCATCGTTGACGTCCCGGGCATTCAGATGTGGCACGGTTGGGGGCTCTGCGGAGGTTGGTTTCCAACGCCGCACTTCCCGCAATCAAGCAAATCTTGTAGGGACCTACGAACAGGGAACTGGGAGGGAGGGTGTATTGCAATGTTCTTTATGCATCTTGGGTTTACACTGGTCCTCCTCATCCTCCTCCTCCTCCACATCCTCCTCCTCCTCATCCCCTCTCCCTGGGGCGCCCACGCGCCCGTCCAGAGACACCACCAAAGACTCACTCATGGGTGCGTGCGGGTCCTCCCCCCCCCCTCGGCCTCCAGGGTGTTCCTCCCGAGCAGCGTGCGCCCCACGGCCGCCACCCTGGTCACCTGAAAGGAGGCGGCGAGGAGGTGGCGAAGGAGGAGCAGGCGGCCCTCGGCGGCAGGGGGGTGGGCCGAAGGCGACTTGAAAGCGGGTCTTCGGGTCAAAAGGACGGGAGTATGGACAGGATCAGGAGCCGTAAGGAACTGAGGACCTGACAGTCCACCATCGCCGTGCAGGATCGTCGCCCAAAGCTGCACAGCAGTCGCTGCTGTCATGCTGCAAGTCGCTACTATGCACGAGCTGGCGGGAAAGGGGACGGAGGACCACAGTGAATCCGGCACTCACACACACACCACTGCTGCTGCTGCTGCTGCTGCTGCAACGCATCCTCCCGTCCCGAAGACTCGTTTCATAAACCGATGATAATGATATCTGCCCGCCATGAGGAGAGCGAGAGGACTTGGAGGAAGAAAGAGGAGGAGGGGGAGGAGGAGGAGCAGGTAGCAGGCACCGCCCGATCTAGCTCGAGTCAGTCAGAAGGAGAAGGAGGATGGGGACCCGAGCAAACCCAACGAAACACGCACACACACACACACACACACACACACACACACGCAAACACACACACACACACACACACGCAAAATCTCTTTTTCAGTCGTCGCGGGTGGGCGACTCGCCACACCGTCAGGCGCGCCGCGCGGAGGACCGCACGCGCGCCCAGTGGTACTGGAGGCCACATGCGAACCCCTTCCCCCACCTCCCCCCCTAGAAATCGGGGCGGGGGGGGGTAGGGTTCGCATGTGGCCACCGACAATAATCTTAGCTCGGACGTGCCCCCCTACAGGGATAATTTGGACGAAAAACTAAAAACACCCCATAAACATTCCAAAACAATGAAAATAATAAGACAAATCGTCCCCTGACTATTTTTGTTGCTACTTTTGACTTTTCCCCTGTAGAGGGACAGGCCCGACTGAACAGTAGTCGAAAGAGCAACATGGAAAAGGTATGACGGCTGACCCCTCATGGAGCAGTGGCCGTTTGCGGCGCCCTCGGCGGCGACGATGGGGGCGACTAGCCCAGGGGCGGGCATTGCACGTATTCGCCCGGGAGCCTTTTCGAAGACATAGATCCTCGGCGCAACTGAATACATGTATTGCTCTCCTCAGCGCCCCTCTAACGGGGACTCCACTAACGGGTACTTTGGCCAGCGGCCCAGCGAACCCAACCCTCCCCGATGTGGGCAACGCTGCAATGCCAGAACGAGGCCCTAAAGCGGCACCTTTCGGCACATCTCCGAAGTACCCGTCAGTGAGTACCCGTTACGGTGCCGCTGCTCTCCCCTGGGCCGTTCGCCCCTATCGTCGCCTCTGACGCCCCAGGGCGCCGGGGCAGCGAGGCTGCGGGCAGGGGGCCGGCGAGTGGCGGGGCGGCGGGGGAGCGGCGGCCGCAGGGCAGAGGGCGCGGGGCCGGGGCGGGGCAGCGGGGCGGCGAGGGAGGGCGGGGCAGCAGAAGGGGCGTCGCGCCAGGCCCAGACCCCCTCGGGCATTGAGAAAATTATCCCGGCAAAGCAACCTAACAGCGATGTGTAGAAGCATAGCTGGAAACATTGCCTGTGGTATTCATGTAAGAGTGCTGTTGTAGAATTCTGGTGTTCTCGCAGTCGCATTCGGATTCGCAGTGGCAGTCGCAGTGGCAACATCAGCGGCAGTCGCAGTGGCACTGCCAGTAGTTGCAGTAGCAATAGCTACACTAGCAGCAGCAACAGCAGCAGCAGCAGCAGTAATAGTAACAGTAGTAGTAGTAGCAGTAGAAGTAGTAGTGATGGTAGTAGTGGTAACAGTAAAGTAGTAGTTGTAGTGTGTGGAGTGAACGAGTAGGAGTGATGGGAGCAGTGGTAGTAGCAATAGAAACACTGCTTTCGATAACGGTATCTCCAAATGAGATCTTTGTATAAAAGCATTGAGGTCTAAACAAGACGCTGCTATCAACGGATGTGATTCCAAACGAGACACTGCTATCGACGGGTTGAGCCTCAAACGACGCACTTGCATCAATGAATGCAGCTCCAAAACAGGCACTCCCATGAATGGATTTTTAGTGTGATGTCGTAGTAGTAGTAGTAGTAGTAGTAGTAGTAGTAGTAGTAGTAGTAGTAGTAGTAGTAGTAGTAGTAGTAGTAGTCGTAGTCGTAGTCGTAGTCGTAGTCGTAGTCGTAGTCGTAGTCGTAGTCGTAGTCGTAGTCGTAGTCGTAGTCGTAGTCGTAGTAGTAGTCGTAGTCGTAGTCGTAGTCGTAGTCGTAGTCGTAGTAGTAGTAGTAGTAGTAGTAGTCGTAGTAGTAGTAGTAGTAGTAGTAGTAGAGTAGTGAGTCTTGGGAGTAGGGAAGGTAGAGAAGGTAGTAGTTGCTCCGGGCATTCAAAATGTGGCCCGGGAGTGGAGTCTGGGAAGTGGAAGAGCACGAAGTGGCCTACAGTTGGCTCCGGGCATTCAAAATGTGGCCCGGGAATGGAGTTCTGGGAAGTGAAGAGCACGAAGTGGCCTACAGTTGGCTCCGGGCATTCAAAATGTGGCCCGGGAGTGGAGTTCTGGGAAGTCGAAGAGCACGAAGTGGCCTACAGTTGGCTCCGGGCATTCAAAATGTGGCCCGGGAATGGAGTTCTGGGAACTCGAAGACCACGAAGTGGCCTACAGTTGGCTCCGGGCATTCAAAATGTGGCCCGGGAATGGAGTTCTGGGAAGTCGAAGAGCACGAAGTGGCCTACAGTTGGCTCCGGGCATTCAGAATGTGGCCCGGGAATGGAGTTCTGGGAGGTCGAAGAGCACGAAGTGTGCGACTGTTGGCTTAAAACGACTTCTGCGGCACCCTGTCCGGCACCCGCCCAGACCCCCCTGTGGAGTCATCTGCTGCTCTCTTTTGACCCAACTAGAAACCTATCAGTCTTCGCTGTTAGGTAATCATGAGGGGAAGCTTTTTGCTACTTTCGGCCTCTGGGGGCGCCTACCGGCCCTCGGGACCGTCAAAAACGACTGAGGATGAAGAACCGGTCCAGGGGAATGGGTCGAGACCTCCCAGGGGTCGACGCAATGAAAAAATCATGACGCAGTGAGGCGGGCAGTCACGCATGCACACCCGCCAATACCCCAGACGCCTTCGCGCTGCGAAAAAACACGACGGGCGTTCTCATATATATATATATATATATATATATATACATGTAGATACACATACATATACATACATATCCTAACCATCCTGTGGTGTTGGGTCCTCGTTCTGAAATAACGGTTCCCGCGTTCTCCTCCTTCTCCTCCTCCTCCCCCTTCTCCCTCCTCCCTTCTCCCCGCGCTTCACCCACCCAGTACAGCGCTTCGTGGCCCCATAGGGAGCTCCACCGAAGGCCCCGGTGGCAAGGTTCGCATGGCGGCCCCGCGTTTGGGCGCGGCCCTCACACGGTTCGTGGCCCCATAGGGAGCTCCACCGAATGCTTCGATGGCAGGGTGGCCCCGCGCCATTTTGGTGCACCCCTCACACGGTTCGTGGCCCCATAGGGAGCTCCACCGAAGGCTTCGGTGGCAGGGTTCGCATGGCGGCCCCGCGCCATTTTGTCGCACCCCTCACACGCCTCGCGGCCCCATAGGGAGCTCCACCGAAGGCCCCGGTGGCAGGGTTCGCATGGCGGCCCCGCGCCACTTTGGCGCAGCCCTCACACGGTTCGTGGCCCCATAAAGGGGGCTCCACCGAAGGCCCCAGTGGCAGGGTTCGCATTGCGGCCCCGTCTCATTTTGGCGCACTCCTCACACGGTTCGTGGCCCCACTGGGAATTCCCCTTGCCTCGTCCCACCTGCCCTGCGGTTCTCACACTTGCGTATGGCTGGTTCCTTCGCCAAAATAATTTCAGCCTCCGGGGGCCTTTACCAGGCCTCGGGACCGTCAAAAAACTACTCAGGATGAAAAACCGGTCCCGGGGAAAGCTTCTAGACCTCTGGGGGTCGACGTTGCAAAAAGATCACGACGTCGGGATCTGGGACCACTGATGCTGCTCCAACCCTCCGGTCCCGAACCCCCTCCCAGGGAGCCAGTTTAAGCTGCTCATCACGGAGAGCACCTGCTGGACAGGCAAGCGCCCTGTGGACCTGCATGGTGAGCCCTGTGTGTGCGTGGTTAGAAATGCTCATGGCCTGTCAGATAACTATGAGATTTCGAATCGTAACAAAACACAACGGGTTGAGAGATCACACTCCGCCCACGTAGTTGGTAGGAGCCGTACGACAAACTATTAACAAACAACCGCATAACACGCCGCAGCTAGAACACGACTTCACAAACAATTGCCCGCCAACCTTGGTGTTTGAACTTTCACTTCTTCAAACAACCGTGCGTAACGACGCCTCACGAGATACAGCCGGATATTACCAGAGCGTGCTATCCACCTGCGGCTGATTGAAAAATCCGCCAGCCCGTGCAGCTCGTCCTGGTCGTGGAGCAGCTTCTCCTGCAGGTCCGCTGGCAGGCTGCCGATGACCTTGCCCGCCTGCCGCTCGGGTGGCAGGCCGGGTCTGGCGACTCCACGTATCCACTTGCACCAGCCAGGTGTCGAGCCGCCCGAAGCCCGCCCACGGCTGTGGGCCCTGCGTGTCGTCCGGCCTCCAGCCGCCCGAGCCGCCGCCGCCGCCGCTGCCTTCCCACTGCCACGGGGCGCCGGCGGCGGCGGCACCGCCGAGCCGATCGACCCGGCGCGCTCGCCGCGCCAGTGCGCCGTCGCCGCGGGAGGCGCCGCTGCCGGGCGGGCCGGCTCGGCTGGCGCCGCGTGGGGCCTGCGGCTGCTGTCGAGGCGAGCGCTGCGCTCACGCACGGCGCCGCTGCCCCCGCGGCGGTGCCCGCTGGTGGAGGCGCCGCCGCTGTGGCCGTGCCTGCGTCTGGTGCTGCAGCCGCTGCTGACGTGGGCGCTCTGCTCGGCGAGCCTCGGGGCAGTGGTGGCTGCTCCGGCGCCTCGACGACTGCCCAGGTCGCTGTCCAGGTCTGCGTCCTCCTGTGCTGGCACTGTCTTGCCACTACTGCCAG